TCTTTGTCACATTTAAATCTGATCTGCAATGTTTTAGGAAACTGGGGAGCGGTATTACCATGACCAACACGCTGGCGGTACAATCAATGGCCAACTCCTCTTCCGGAAACTCTATCGCTTCGTCCTCATCCTCAATGAGTGTCGATTCTGTGGACATGTTGTCAAACGCTGCCACCACTGCCATAGGTAATTTGGGCCACAATCCGTTGTCGCTGAGCACAGTTTCCGGAGCTGTGACAGCGGCTGCTGGTCACACATCCACGATTACACCATCCAGCAACGTAGCTAATGTGTCGAATGTGGCCAGCGGTGGCGTAAGTACCACCTCTATGGGTGGTGGTATGCCTAGCACTTCAATAGCCCCCGGTGCTAATCTGACGATTGGCGAAAATGGATTGGTCGTTGAGCAGACAAACGAGGGCGAATGGTCCTACGATCCGAACGAGCCCCGCTACTGCACCTGCAACCAGGTCAGCTATGGTGACATGGTTGCTTGCGACAACGACGCTTGTCCCTACGAATGGTTCCATTACCCATGTGTCGGCATTACCCAGCCTCCCAAAGGCAAATGGTATTGTCCGAAGTGCACGGCCTCCATGCGTCGTCGTGGCAATCGCAAGAATTGATGTCGATTGCCAATGCTATAGCTATAATCATATTTATTTTTATTTCGCCTCCTCCACAACTTTTCCCGCTTCATTGCGGATGCTAATAAAAGTGGTCTACTGTGGTCGTTAGTTACGGATAAATACAACCAAATCATAACACATAAATACATCTGTGTATGTATATTGCGTTTTTCTATGTCATAAGATATCGCTTTTATCAGCAGTCGGACATTCCACAAATAGTCTTTTCAGTGCCTTTTTAAAGCACACTGGCCGAAAAAGCAAAAGTTGAGGTATACAATAAAATGCGGTTCGCAGTGACTTCCAATTTGGTGCAGTTGATTATAATAAAATATAAAAACAATTTAAAATGTTTTAGGTTGATCGAACCACGCCCACTCGTATCTCCCATATATTTTTGTATTTATATTATATTTATTTATTTTATATATTCCTTTTTACTCCACTTGGGAGCTTAGGGCTTCTACAAGAACTTTTTTCCATCCAACCATATTAAATTGGTATGAATTTGATACTAACGTATATTTATTATTTAAAATTTATGAAATGTTTAATCATAAAACAATATTTTTATTAACTTTCTTCAACCTCTAACGCAAATGAAGAGGAATGTAGGTTCTCATAATCCAAATCCGAGTCTATATCAGATTTAATCGTATCTTCTTTTGCAATAAAATCTGGCTCAGCTAAAAGGGCAATCACTCCTGACGGCAGCTTGTCCTTGTTTTTCTTGAGGGATTTATTTATTTGAAGGCTCGATATTAACGGATCCGAAGAATCCATAGCTCGGTGAAACATATCGTCTATATTATTGATACGAGTATTTTTGCGTGCGTGAGATATTCTGTAACGTTTATAATATTTATCCGACTGGAACTGCAGAAACAGAAATAATTTGTGATCCATGGACCGGGATCTTGTGAAAGGTCGGTGACATTGGATACCAAGGATACTTTTCCATATATTGCAGAAGCTTTGAAACTTTTGCGGACTTATTTCAAACTCACAAGAAATGGCAATTAAAATTGTTTTGAAGCATTCAAGAATATTTTAATCAAATGCTAATATAGAGGAAAATAGTTGGTTATTTCCGAATACTCATTGGAATTGCCGCTTCCGTTTTGTTTTGGGAGATCTACGTGCAGTCCCATTTGCTTCCATAATTCATGTTGAATATTTTTCTCATTTGCATCCCGCACTTGCCTTTTATTTAGACCAATCCGATAGGACACATGCAATACGAGTTCAAGAAATCTTATCCATTTTTCCAGCAAGCAACTTTCGATTTTGTTCTTTAAATGCCCCAAATTTTAGCTTTTTCGGCCAGTGTGCAGTGGCGAGATGGGGCCCGGATCTTATATACCCTTGCAAATGTACTTCTCTGCATTTAAGTTCTTTAAATATCAAAAAGCTTCCTTAATTGATTTCGATGGCAGCTAAATGATATTTAGATCCGATTTGATCCCCAACCAACTACAGCATAATCTACGAAAATCCCAGATAAGCGTTAAAACAAAATGTAATACCATAATTGAAAAATATTGTTTAACATTAAACACATACTTGTACATTCATTTAAATAAAATAAAATTGGAAAGGTACACTTTGACTTAATAAAAAAAAACTTAAAATAAACTGCTGTGCCGTTTCCTCAACCAATTACAACATAATCTACGAAAATCCAAGAAAAGCGTTCAAACAAAATGTAATACCATACATATAAGCACACATAAACCTTTACACCCATAATGGTTTAGTCTGCACGCGCGCACGAATTACAGGTGCATTGACACTGGTCAGCCAACATAAGCAATAATAATAAGCAGGAATTATACATATATTATTCTGATATTATTCCGCATAAGACTTACAATCAGATACAGGTCATAGTTCCGTGCACTGCACATATAAGTTTATGAGCCAAATTGAGCTGACACCATATACTTAAGCATACTTAAGCTCATAATACTTGTATATGCTTGCGCATCATTATTGTGAAACCGCCAACACATACATATGTAGAAATGGTAAATAGTCATAAGCTAGTTTTAAGCACGGCTATATAAGCCATGATTTTTATACCCTGTACCCGTAGGGTAAAAAGGGTATATTAGGTTTGTGCAAAGTATGTAACATACAGAAGGAAGCATCTCCGACCCCATAAAGTATATATATTCTTGATCAGCATGACGAGAGAAATCGATCTAGACATGTCCGTCCGTCTGTCCGTCTGGATGAACGCGAGGATCTCAGAAACTATAAAAGCTAGAATAACCAAAGTTGGCATCCAGATTCTCCTAGGTCCGAGTAAGAACGAGTTTATTTTTTTTTTTTTTAATTTTCCCCGCGACAGAATTTCGTCAATAGCGTCCACATTTCAAATGGTACCTAAACCAAACATTGCACACATAATTTATAAATAATTATCTGCTGTTGTTTAAAATTTTATTCAATTCTGTCAATTCTAAGAAAAGTTATTAGCGAAACAAATTCTCGCCAGTACAACCCCCACAAAACTGCAGCAACAAGTTCGCTCTTCTTCTTCCTCTTTTTGCTGCTGCTTTGGGCGCATATAACTCAGTGACGGAAGTTTACCTGGGTATAGGGTATTACACTGTCGGGCTTGCTCGACTGTAGCGTTCTCTCTTGTTAAGAATAAAATCAGTACGCAAATTATCAACGAACTATTAAGTACGAAACTGAACCAAACGTCCTGCGTCGTTTCACTCAAGCGCGACCAGGACAACCGGTGTTACTCGCACCTACTGGACCACGAGGGTCCACTGAAGCAGTAGGACCACAAGCGTCCTTTAAATTAAATACGTCAGGACCACAATCGTCCTGCCGATTCGCACTACCGCACGTGTGCGAATAAACATTGGTGACCCCGACGTGATCCTTGATACAAGATCACAATCACTGAGCACGTAACTCAGAGAAAACGTTAACAAGATGTCGAAAACCGCCAAGTTTGAAGCTGTACAAGCACAGCGAGGCAGAGTCGAGGAGATTGAGCGGCTCATAACTAACTACATGAAGGATGGCTGGGAGCAGTCCAAACCTGAGTACTACCCAAACCTGGCCCGTCGGCTGCAAGGTTTGACACAGGAGTTCGAAGAGGGTCACAGCGCCCTGATAGCCACAGAAGAGCTACCAGCCGAGCGAGAGTACTTGCTGCTATACGAGCACACTCGGAAGCAGGCCCAGAGATACTTGGAGTTGTTCCAGCAGCCGCTGACCATTGGGGCTAGCCGCAGCCCGAGTCGCGAGCCCGAAGAGCAACGACCACCGAGTCAGGGTTTCAGCTGCAGGGTTTCCGCCAGCCCGTAGTTCCTCGAGGGCCTAGATGCGAAGTTGATCAACTTGGCGGCCTTGAAAGAAGGAAGGATGATGCCTACAAAGGTAACGGCCCCGGGCGTCGCGTCTTTTAACTACGAGCTAAACGCGTTTGAGATATTGGTGCGGAGTTCGTCAACTCAATCAATTCTGCCCTGACAGCGTGGAACCGTATCCAGGACAAGAGGGATCTGCTCAACATCGACGGGGAGAACCATGAGAGGCAAGGCTTTAATTCAGTCCTCTTCTTGAGGGTCCAACAACTGGTGAACAAGTTCCTGTGTAAGGAAGCTCCCCAGGTACTGGCCCCGGTTATATGACTATAACTTTCTTTCTAATCAACCTATCATGATGAAACTTGGCATACGGACACACTAACTGGATGTGACTGCCAAATTCGAGTTCGAAGTTCTAAGAATTACGGGAGTTATGGAAAAAAACACAAATTGCGGGGGAGTAAGGGGGTGTATCAGAAAAAAACACAAACTCGATCTGCCTAGGGCTTGGGGGAACCTGAATGTCAAGTTTGGTTATCCTAGCTATTGTAGTTGCTGAGATCGTTGCGCTCATACAGACAGACGGACGGACAGACGGACATGGCTATATCGACTAGTCTTGTCATCCTGATCAATAATATATATACTTTGTGGGGTCTGCCTCGCCTCCTTCTGTGTGTTACATACATTCGCACAAAACTAATATAGCCTTTTACCCTTTGGGTACAGGCTATAAAAATACGAAACTATTTTGCATGCATTTGAAACGTCCATTACCAAAAGGGACGCGTCCGGCCAGGAGAGATTTTTTTTTTTTTTAAATTTGATGTCTCTATGCATGTCAGCATCCGTTAACACCAGGTTCGTGTCCGGCAAAGAGTTCGAATTTCTCCAAAAATAGTGTTTGCGTCCGGTCAAGAGAATGTCCGCACAAGAGTGGCGAACTTGCTCTAAAAAGTACACCAAAACGAATGTTCTAGAAAAAGCGTCCGCCCAAGAAGGGTGTCCGTTAAGGGAGTTTTTGCTGTACACAGATGTATTTATGTGTTATAATTTGGTTGTATTTATCCGTAACTAACGACCACAGTAGACCAATTTTATTAGCATCCGCAATGAAGCGGGAAAGGTTGTGGAGGAGGCGAAGTAAAAATACAACTGCGCGCTGCTGATTATAGCTATAGCATTGGCAATCGACATCAATTCTTGCGATTGCCACGACGACGCATGGAGGCCGTGCACTTCGGACAATACCATTTGCCTTTGGGAGGCTGGGTAATGCCGACACATGGGTAATGGAACCATTCGTAGGGACAAGCGTCGTTGTCGCAAGCAACCATGTCACCATAGCTGACCTGGTTGCAGGTGCAGTAGCGGGGCTCGTTCGGATCGTAGGACCATTCGCCCTCGTTTGTCTGCTCAACGACCAATCCATTTTCGCCAATCGTCAGATTAGCACCGGGGGCTATTGAAGTGCTAGGCATACCACCACCCATAGAGGTGGTACTTACGCCACCGCTGGCCACATTCGACACATTAGCTACGTTGCTGGATGGTGTAATCGTGGATGTGTGACCAGCAGCCGCTGTCACAGCTCCGGAAACTGTGCTCAGCGACAACGGATTGTGGCCCAAATTGCCTATGGCAGTGGTGGCAGCGTTTGACAACATGTCCACAGAATCGACACTCATTGAGGATGAGGACGAAGCGATAGAGTTTCCGGAAGAGGAGTTGGCCATTGATTGTACCGCCAGCGTGTTGGTCATGGTAATACCGCTCCCCAGTTTCCTAAAACATTGCAGATCAGATTTAAATGTGACAAAGACATAAAGAACAATGTTTGAACTCACTTTTTCTGCTTCTTCTCCTGATGATGGTGGTGATGATGATGGGAGGTGCTGCTGCTAGCTCCACCTAATGCTGCCGAGCTGGGCTGAATGGTACTCTGCGCCGCTACCACATTAGCGGCTGTCCAGAATTCGTTATTACCGGCCACGCCGGCGCCATGTATTGCCTCATAGCTGGCCTTCAAGCTGGCTGTGCGTCGGCCCTGCTGCATTTGTTGGGTGGCCACGATGGCTTGGCTTGCGGCAGCTGCAATAGCACTCGAGGCGGCTCCCACGCCGCCTAATTGCTGGAGGTTGTAGCTTACTGTGCTGGTGCTGGGATGACTGGTGGAAGTGCCAGCATTGGTTGCAACAGCAGTAGCAGCTGCATTGCTCTGCAACACGCCATGTGCTGTCAAATTCGAGGATAACTGCCGGACAACTGTGGCACCGGCACCACCAGCGGTGGCAACTGGAACAGCGCTTCCAGCTACTGGCAAGGTGACATGAGTATTGCTGCTTCCCGTGCTGCTAATGCTGTTGGTATTATTAGTGCTGCTGCTCACATGATTTGCAGATGCATTGACGGCAGCAGCGCCGGCGCCAGCGTTGCTCACGGTTGGCAACGAATGATTTAAATTAACGCGTTTCTCCGGCAAGGGCACTGTGCAAATCGTTTCACGGCGCTTATCTAGCTTGCGATGGCGTGGATGACCCACAGCATTGCCGGATATCTGGGCGCTGGTCAAGCTGCTGAGAGCAGTAATGCCGGCGCCAGCACTGGAAACACTGGTACCGCCAACACTACCACCTCCGCCACCCAAGACGCTGGCAGTTCCCAGGCTTCCGCCGGAGCTTGTGAGGATGCCCGAGCTGCTGTTAAGACTCGTGGTCATTACACTGTTGCCGACGTTAGCGCCATAATAACGATTCTCTTTTGATTAATGCTCATAAGCAAAGCTGTAGCCGCTGACGAGTTGTTACCATCGAGCTCCAAAGAGCGTTTCTCCAATATTTCAGTAATACCATTATTGTCAGCCTCCAACTCACATTTGAACTTAAAAAGCTCGCTGTCTAGGCGTCTCAAGTAACGCTCGACAAGCTCATGAATCTGTGTGGCTATGGCCACCTTTTCCTCAGCGTCCTCCATCACTTTGTAGTACTCACGGCGCAGGTTGTGGAATTCAGTATTGATGGACTCGTTTTGTAGTTCGCCGCGCTTGCATTGCTGGAAAAACAGACGGGACTTCTTGTCCAGCGAGTCCATATTATCTGCATAGAGAATTGGCGTGCATTCAACTAAAATTTTTGGTATTATTTGAACGCCACTTACTCTGCACAGCCAGATCGAGTTCGCGCATTTCTGTGAAGCGGTCGCGCAACTCTTGTGGTAGATGCTCAATCACTGGAATGATGTTGGTGTAAAAAATTACATATGTATGTGTTAAGGACATTGCGTTATAATGTACATATTGCCATTCGTATTACTTACTCTCCAAATAGTCCTCCAAGTATAGCATGGCGGACTTGCAGCTATTTTCTGCTTAGCTCAATAAATTGTAAAATGCGCACGCTATTTTATAAGCGTGTTAAAAAGAATGCAGCACCAACTAATGCAAAAAATTCATATGGATGCATGCAACCCTTAAGCTCACGAAATTGTTCAACAAAACACAAAATACCGAATTGGTATTTTCCGACATAGTGCTACCCAGTCATTGGCGCAGCTGTTTATCTAGTAATGTTTATGGTGAAATAACACAACATTGGATGATTGTTTGTATTCGAATGCATCATGGACATCAGCAGCACAATTAAGTTTCGGAACATTTGCAACATGTTTGAAAACATGAAAAATGCGAAAACCACGCAGCGCAAGGAAAAAATCTTGCATCGCTATTTCGAGTCCTTCTGCAGACATCGGATGGCCTTTCGCCAGCAGGCCGGCATATCAGACAATCATCCCGAGGATGGCAAAAGCAGCTTCTTTTCCGTGCTGCGTTTGCTAATGCCTGGCACAGACACATCGCGCGATAACTATGGATTACAGATCACAGCACTGGGACGAGTATATACGCGGGTGCTGCAGCTGGCCCGTGATTGTGAGTATTTAAAGGAGTTTTCTGCTTGGTTAGCTTATCCTGTACGTTTTATCAGCGCCAGATGCGATAAGCCTGCAACATAAAAGCTATACACCACATCGTGACTATGCCGATGTGGTCCATGCCGTGCTCAAGTCACGCTGCTTCAACAATCCAAGTGACCTGACGCTGCTGCAAATTCATGAAATGCTCGACATAATTGCCAATGAGGACACACAAAGTAAAGATCGGGAGCTGACGCGCTTCACCGAAGTGGCCTCGCCCTTGGAGCAAAAGTGGATGGTACGCTTGCTGCTGAAAACCATGAACCTGGGCATTGGAGAGCAGCGCATATTTGCACTCCTGCATCCCAATGCCCGAGATGTTTACCTCCGCTGCACAGATTTGGCGCGCGTTTGTAATTTATTGGCCGACAGAAAGCTATCGCCGGATGTTGTGGCGAGCACGGGCGACGATCCAAACAACGCCACAGGCACCAGCACCAGCATAAATTTCAATGCCGTTATTGCACCTTTTCATCAAATTCGTCCGATGTTATGCGAACGTTTTCCGGGCAAAATTGAGGAGCTAATGCAGTCAGACGTTCTCTATATGGAGATTAAAATGGATGGCGAACGCTTTCAGTTGCATTTTGCAAACAACCGCTTCAAGTATATTTCTCGCAACGGCGCCGACTTTACGCGAAACTTTGGTGACTCATACGAGCATGGCAATTTGACGCCCAAGCTGCGCACCTTGCTGCCTCTGGACATGCAATCGATTATACTCGACGGCGAAATGATGATCTGGGATAAAAATCAGAAGCGTTTCCGGGAGAAAAGCGAGAACAATGATGTGAAGCATTTGAGCGATGATGGCAGCTGGCAGCCATGTTTCGTGGTCTATGACTTGCTCTATATGAACGGTCAAAGCTGTCTGGATATGACGTATGTGCAACGCAGCTACAAACTACAAGAGTTACTGACGGAACAGCAGGGAGTACTGCAGCTGATGAGGTCACGGAAAATTGGTTCGATCGAGGAATTCAATCGCATGTTTCAAGAAGTATTAGACTCCAAAGCTGAAGGCATTGTGATCAAAAAACAGAACTCCATTTACAGGCCGGGCGTACGTGTGGGTGGAGGCTGGTATAAGGACAAGGCGGACGTAAGTCATGAAAGCTAATCTCATTTTTTTTTGTACTCAGAAAAATGGATGAGCTCTGAGAATGTGGATTGTGGGAGACAGCAGAGCGAATATTCTAACAAAACCAACTTTAATTCAGCTTCGAATAGACATACACGTTTTGAGTAAAGGGTTCACTCATTTCATTCAACATCATACTAAAAATAATTGTAACTAAGTATTATCAGAGCCATGCTTTGTTAATTATCGTGGTATCATCAGCATAAACCTATACTTGCTCCATTCGAATGTGATTTGTAAGTTTAGCTCCTAACATGATAATTCTTATAGCTATGTTTTATATTAAAAGAACTTACGAATATTTGTGCTCAGGTAACGTAAAGGTGCAGAGACATTTGGTATAAATATTACTCTTAGCATTGCATGTGCTGTGAGAAGAGTGTGTATTCTAGAAGGTCTTCTCATTAATAAGATGAACGTCCATGAATTGGGCTGCCTTGTTAGACATCCACTTAACGTTTAAATGATTTTTAAAGAAGACGTAGAGCTCTCCACCTCCATTTGGCAGATTAGAATTATTGCATTTTTATTTGTTTGCATTTAATAACAATCCACAAATTGCTTTGCAGTACATCAACGGCCTGACCTCTGAATTCGATTTGCTCATCATAGGCGGCTTCTACAATCGCAAGCGCACCTTCATAGAGTCATTCCTGCTGGGCGTGCTCAAGCCCAGCACGGGTCCGGCGGGACGCAATGAGGTGTACAGTGTGGGCCGGGTTAGTAACAATACCCAGCAACGCTCGGTGTTGAACGATTCATTGAAAAGGCATTGGCATGATTGCAAACAAGAGCCACCTCCGATTTGGTACAAATACAAAGCCGGTGACGTCAACGGCAGCCCTGATGTCTGGATCGACCCATGTAATTCAACCATATTGCAAGTGAAGGCCACTGACTTGGTGCCGTCGGCCGCTTTCTTCACGCCCAAGTCCTTGCATTTTCCCCGCACTCAATTGGTGCGCCACGACAAAGTTTGGAATGAGTGCATGACGCTGCAGGAGTACACGCAGCTCAGCCAGGTGAGTCATACTAGATATAACGCAATACTTTTAAATGTTTTCTGAAAGGATCACACACAGCCCAAATATAGAAATATACTCGTATAGCCATTTGCATGACAAATTTCAATGCTCTCAAACGTTTTTCCTATACTACAGGGTCACGTTGCAGTCAAGAAAATAACGAAGCGTTCCCTGCGCCTGGAGGACTTCACAGCCGAGCGCAAGCGTCAAAAGCTGACACCGGCCCAGCGTGCGAAACTGGGTCTGGCCGCCTACGAGAAGCGTTACGATGCAGAGAAGGTGAGTGAGAGTCCCAAATTGAAACATTTAAGCACTATATTTGAGCGATTGTCACAGTATACGCACAAGGACTTCCATTAAAATACTGCAGTTTGATTTGTCTTATGGCTTACAAATTCTTCGGAAGATTCGTATAGTCATTAGACTGGAGAACACTCCTAAAATCTTCAGTGGGAGCATTTAAATACCCGAAAGTCAACATTTTGCTCCATTTAAGGTTAGGTCCCCATCGTCGGTTATACATTCAATAAGTTACTTAAATGCGTTTGCAAGATAAAGAAAGTTCTGATACTTCTAAGAAGTATCTCCATTCTTCTTCTAAGACGTATCTCCGTTATATTCATTTTTTTCAGGCTCAATAAAAATATTATTATTGTAAACCTCAGTAGGAGAAAGAATGTGAACCCTCCATCAAAATTTTTAAAAGAACTCTTTTGTAAAGAAGTGCCACTGATATAAGAATATTTTAGAGGAACTGCTCTGTTTCAATACTCTGCCATGAAAGCGGGCTAGCGATATTCCCTATTTCCCTATATATAGCTGTCCCTCTCTTAACTCAAGCACCATTCCTATGAAGGGTGTTCATGCAGGGTCTTCATATTTTACCATTATATCTACCCAGTTATACAATTAATAATGAATTGTTGTTTCACTTAATTGTTGATCTCCTCCAGTTCTTGACTAATTATGGCCAAATGTGACTATTCTATGAAATCGAATTATAGATTACGTGCGCAGTGGTTTAGGTAGCTTTTGAAATGTGGACGGTATTGAAATTCTGTAGCGGGGAGAGGGGGAAAACTAAAAAAAATAAAATAATTGCGTATCAAAGTCGGCCTTATCTGTTATATGGCAGCTATATGAATTAGTGGCCCAAACTAAACCAAAATTGTTATGTCGCCTTAGGGGGATATGCGTAGAAACTAACATTGGGGTAAATATCTTAATATTTCGAATCTATGCCAAAAAATTTGGATTTGGGACCAGTGTGCACTGTTGAAAGCTGGGAATATTTTGAGCTATCGAATGAAAGCCTTACATGGGGCTTTAATTAACCTTTGTATGCTAACAAAAATCAAGGTCTGGATTATATATATATTATAGTCAGATGATCTCAAGAAATATTTTGAAATTATACACAATAGGGACAGCAGCTTGCAATATCTTCGTGAACAAAGATCGAATTGTTTTAGTCTATGTTGGAAAGTTTGTGCCATAAAAAGAACAAAAAAAAGAATTTTCTCTGCCATCGTCCAATGAGATTCAATTTTGATATTCAGGCATTTGTACTGATATATATTTTTTTAATTTGACAAAAAAAAAATTTTAAATTCCCATACAGGAAAGTCTCGAATATAAAACAAACCCAGACCTGAATGCCATTTCCAATCAAAGTCGTGCATAATAATAAAAGAATATATTGTTGAGAAACTGTTGGCAATTCAGATATTCTGGATCTGGTTCCGTTCGTTTGAAATTTGATTGTATATTTAAAGAAAGACCTCTATTATTTAAAAACTCAAAACTTTCCGTATTTAGTCAGTGTGTCTGAAATAACGACCTTAATTTATGTTTTATTTAAGCGGAAAGACACTCTGGTTCTCTTTATTGTAAGCATCTTCCTTCCGAATGGTTTTTGAACATAGAAGCAATTGCTCTCATGTTAAATATTGAAACCATGCAGGCAGTTGACTAAGATTCAATGAAGCGGCTAGTTCCCCATAAAACTTAGTCGTTTTTTTTTACCATATATAGTAAATAACAAGAGAGAACGCTACAGTCGAGCAAGCCCGACAGTGTAATACCCTGTACCCAGGTAAACTTCCGTCACTGAGTTATATGCGCCCATAGCAGCAACAAAAAGAGGAAGAAGAAGAGCGAACTTGTTGCTGCAGTTTGTGGGGGTTGTACTGGCGAGAATTTGTTTCGCTAATAACTTTTCTTAGAATTGACCGAATTGAACAACAGTAGACAATTATATATAAATTATGTGTGCAAAGTTTGGTTTAGGTAGCATTTGAAATGTGGACGCTATTGACGAAATTCTGTAGCGGGGGAAGGGGGGGAAAATTAAAAAAAAAAAATAAACTCGTCCTTACTCGGACCTAGGAGAATCTGGATGCCAACTTTGGTTATTCTAGCTTTTATAGTTTCTGAGATCCTCGCGTTCATCCAGACGGACGGACAGACGGACGGACATGTCTAGATCGACTCGTCTCGTCATGCTGATCAAGAATATATATACTTTATGGGGTCAGAGATGCTTCCTTCTGTATGTTACATACTTTGCACAAACCTAATATACCCTGTTTACCCTACGGGTACAGGGTATAAAAACACGAGTAATTATTCTTGGATTCTATTTTACAGTTGGAGCCTATCTCGAAACTACTCGAGGGCATCACATTCTGCATACTGACCGGTTCGCCAAGACGGCGTCAAAGCAAACAGTCATTGCAGGAGCTGGCGGGCCGCAACGGAGGCAACATAGTGGAGAATCCGCTGCCCAATGACGAGAACTGTGTTTGTGTGGCCGGCGATATTACCTGGTATGTGGAGCTGCTTATCAAACAGCAGCCGCGCACCAACAACATTGTGAACATGGATTGGCTACTGCGCGTCTGCGAGCAACAGGAGCTGGTAGTGCGTCCCAAGGACGTGGTGGCGGCCACAGAATCCTTGCACAAAGAATTGACGCAGCACTATGACAAACTCGGCGACTCGTATACGAAGGCTATTTGCAGTGTTTCGGAACTGGTGGAAATTTTGAATGACATCGATGATGCTGCGCTGCAGGCTGCCGATATAGATGAGCAGCAATTGGCCGCCTTTGAGGCGAGCTTGCTGAGCAAAAGCGACGGCCATTTCTTTCGTAATTGCTATGCTTTCTTCTACACTGAGGCAGACGATGGCAATGATGTCAGGCTGGAGTTGGCGAAGCTGCGTTTCATGCGTCATGGCGGCTTGGTGTACAGCCTGCAGGACCTGTCCAGTGCAAGCCAAAAAAGTCGCCTGACCCACATATTTGTCGAACTGAACAGATGCAATCAGGATGTATTCCAGCAATGGATATTGGAGCAACACCTAAGTCATTTGCCAGCTCTAAGCACAGAGTGGATTACACAATCGCATAGCGAGCGACGTATCCTGAACACACAACCGTACCTTTTGGCGACAACGTCTCAGTTGGCTCTTTAGTATATTGTTGTATATTTTATGTTATAATTAACTAAACATTTTTGTTTAAAAACATGTTGGAATAAAAAAGTATTGAGTGTTAAAGTGGGCATGGAATTTGTGTTACGTTCGTTATAAGTTGAAACTAAGAGAGAACGCTACGGTCGAGCAAGCCCGGCAGTGACATTACGGGAGTTACGGGCAAAAACACGAATTGCGTGGGGTGCATCAGAAAAAAACAAGTAAAGAAGCAATAATTATAGGAAATAAAAAAATTAATAAAATTGAAAAAAAAATAATTTTGATCGATTTTACCTTTCTCGGTATTCGAACTCACGTAAAGGGTGTATAATTGCACATTTACATAGCAATTGCGTCTGTGTGAGTGTATGTATGCCTATGCGCAACTATTCGTGCCTGTGTAAACATGTGTTCAGTCAACCAAAGCACCAGCATCAACAACAGCCGCGGGCAGCGCTTAAGCAGCGCTGCAGCAGCAAATATATTTATGGCTATAACTTCTAGTTAAATCGGTCTATTATAGTGAAACTTGGCACACGGACACATAATAACAAACTGGGGGTATTTCCAAAATTTTAGTTCGAAATTCCAAGAAGACGGGAGTTAGAGAAAATCGTGATTTAAGTCGTTGAGGGGGGAGGGAGGGAAATTCCAAAATATACATTTTCTGCGTATTCACATAAGGCATCTGGGACTAAAATTTGGTGTTCCTAGGTGGTGTACCGTAATTCTTGGCATTTTAAATTGAAATTTAGAAAATCTTTCCAGTTAGTGATTATGTGTACGGATGCAAAGTTTCATCATGATAGGCCGATTTAAAAGGAAGATTTAGCCATACACTTGCATGCATACACTTCACATACACACAATTTCTATGTAAATCGGCAGTTATACACCCAAATTGCTTTTAAATTTTTTTAAAATTTCATTTTACACATACATATGTACAAAGTATTTCAAGTATTTAGCTTCTCTACTTCTTTATATTTAAATAATGATTGATAAATAACTTTGGACATTATAAAAATAAAAAAAAATAAATTGTACGAAGCAACGAAGAAAATGTTTAAAATGGTCCTTCCATCAACTGTTTGCAATGTGTAATAGAATCTTCCACATACATATGTAGATTTATGGAAAACGGAAAGGAAACGCTGACAATACTACCTAAAATACACTCTTTTGAATTGTAAAATGCAATGATATAAAAAAACGTTGAAGAAAACGGTCATCCGAATAGTATTTATTTTATCGATCCGTTTGATTTTGTTTAAAAAACGGTGTATTTTTCGAACGCTGTTTCCTCACAATGAAGAAATTGTTTCCAGCCGTATGATAAATTCTATAACGTATCTCAATTATTTGTAGGAATCCTAAAAACAATTTGCTTTACCTATTATAGCGATTTTATATGCCGATCAACATTTTTTGACGCTCAAGAAGGCAACCCTGCGACCACAAAGTATCGATTGTGGGCGATACCAATACCTTAGCCACCCTATTCGGCGATTGTTTTGGGAATTGGTTGTTTTATTTGCGTTGGTATTGGTGTGGGTGCAGAAGAAAAATCCAGCGTCATTTCTGTGGCAGGTTCGAGTACAGCCTTGGGAAGAGGACACTTCTAGTGAGAAAACTTAATTACGCGCATCTCGGTTATAAATAACGGCCTCAAAATTGGCAAAATAAGGAAAAACAAGAAAATGAGCTACAATGAGAAAACGGAAATCATTACCAAGGATGAATGGCTGCAACGATTAGAGCAGTTTCCCTTTAAGCAGGCCGATATGAATCGTCTTATTATGAATTATTTGGTGACAGGTGAGTGCCGTCTGCCACCCCGCAACAAGAGTACAATCCCTATTTGTTCTAGAGGGCTTCAAGGAGGCAGCCGAGAAATTTCAGCACGAAGCCGAGCTGGAGCCAAGTGTTGAGCTTAACAGCTTGGATGATCGGATTCTAATACGCGAGGCGGTGCAGGCGGGCCGGATAGAGGAGGCCACACATTTGGTCAACCAATTGCATCCGGAACTGCTGGGCAGTGAGCGATATTTGTTCTTTCATTTGCAACAATTACAACTGATCGAGCTCATACGTGCTGGGAAGGTGGAAGAGGCCTTGGCATTTGCCCAAACCAAACTGTCCGAGTCCGGGGAGGAGGCGATGTTTGAGCTTGAGCGCACGTTGGCGTTGCTTGCCTTCGAGAAGCCGCAGGAGAGTCCATTCGCCGATCTCCTGGAACAGTCGTACAGGCAAAAGGTGCAGTTATTTCCTCAGCTATTAAATTTCCTACTATTGCTGCTCCTTTAGATAATCCTTTTTCACTAGACTTATCAGCCACCTTAAATCCTTATCTGCAGATTGCTAGCGAGCTGAACTCGGCCATATTGAGATGCGAGCATAGCGAGGACTCTACGCCAAAGATGATGTTTCTACTCAAGCTTATACTGTGGGCACAGTCCAAGCTGGACAGCCGCTCCATTAGCTACCCTAAGATGAAGGACCTGGAGACCGCTCAGGTGGAGCCCAAGTAAGCAGTGGGGATGAATTGTGTATGAATGGGAAAGGGCTTCGATAAATATTCGAGCGTGAGTGTGTGAGCAATTTAATAACGATTTCTATAACTTTGTAAAGATAATGATAATGATTAAAATATTGGCAAAGACGAAAAAAAAAATAAAACGTTGTTGAAGCTTTTATATGGAATGCGTCTCATCACCAGCCGAAGAACAAATCAATTGCTTTATTGACGAGTCCGGTACTCTTCTGTGGCACATTCTTGTTGGGCGATACGGCATTATCTTGCTGAGCTATCTTGAACGATTGCTGTGCCAATGGACGCACCTTGGGTCTGGTCAACTCCACATCTGTGTTACTGGATACATTTGAGTTTTCCTTATCGATGACGCTGCGCTCCGTGCAGCGTATGACGCCGATCATAAAATTGCCGCCAATCACCTTTTGATTGTAGTTAAGTGCTCTGTCGCTCTCGATCCGAGAAGAGAAGCGCACGTGCATCCAGTTGCCGTTCTGTGGGGCATGCACCACATCCATAATGGTGCCGCACTGCGTAAAATTTTGCAAAATCATAGATGTTCCCCCCGGAGGGAAGCCAAAGATGGTAACCCAGAAATCGGCGTTGCGTGGTTGTGGCGACGTCCCCAGTGGCGACATGTTGGCGCCAAGCGGCGAACATAGAGCACGCATCGAAGCATTCACAGCGTTAGGTGCATTGGGCAGATACGAATCATCCAGGTGATTGTTCCCTGCTTGATTGTAGCTCTGATTTAAACTATAATTCAAGTTGGCCCGACTCATGTTGTAGGGCGTTGTGTTTAGGTGTGATTGTGGGGTCTGCAGGACACCTAAATGCGTGCGTTGTGTAGTCAGGCTACTGTTGTCGTTGCGCAGCGTGTCGAATAAACCCTGGGTAGGCGGCCCGGTTTGATGGCTTGTAGTGTGCTGTGGAGTAAGCGGAACGGGACCAAAACCGGGTGATATGACGGTATTTGGTGTACCTGCGCCACTCCCTGAGAAGCTTGCACCACCAAATAGCGTGCGCGTGCCCAAGGCCGAGCGATTAAAATCCTGTGGAGCACTATGAGTGGGCGATGTGGGTCCTATGCACGATTACAGTGTAAATAGAATATCAAAAATATATGAAGTAAGCAATCCAGCTGACCTACCGAAGCTCACATTGTAGCGTCCGGGCTTTGGAGATAGTGTGTTGTTGTGCGAAGGCATTGTTTGTGGATCGCCCATGAGGAAGGGCGGTAAGTACTGGCTTTGGTTTTGGTTGTTTCCAGCTGCATTTGAGCTTGGACTATTAACAGGACTGCCTAGCGTCATGGGCTCCATACTTTACAAACGCGTTAATATTTTTACTAAAACGAACACAAATAAATGGCCACCAACAAAACGTTGCAAGGAAATGCAATTCAAACAGTAATTTGCTAGAGAGTTTACCACGCAGAGTAGCAGTGATATGCACTATCGAAAAGCGATACACAAATCTCATATGCTTCCTAGCTATCGAATGGCAAGCAGTTTATATGGCCAGTAAATTTAAAGGCATTATCGATAAATAAACTATTCAGATATTTTACGCTTATATTTGTTTTTGCATAGAAATGCAGAGGCGACGATTGAAACTCAAATGTTTTTATTTATAAGTTAAATAAATGTTACATTAGCAACAACTAGCTATCGACTGGCAAGCAGTTTATTTGGCCAATATATTTAAAGGCATTATCGATAAGCAAACTATTCAGACATATTACGCTTTTATTTGTTTTTGTATAGAAATAGAGAGGCGATGATTGAAGTACAAATGTGTTTATTTATCAAAATAAATAAGTGTTACATTTATTCCAAAATCTTGAATAGATATTGTTTCGATAGAATTGGCAATAGTATCTGAGCCAATGAGTGGTACGATTATCAACGCGTATTCCGACTTACCTACGAATCGGTATCGAGAGATGAGTAGTCAGGCGGCAGTATCGTTTCAGCCGTAGTCGGCTCGTGTTTACTGCGCGCGTTTGTACGTTACGTGTTTTCGGTTTTACGCCTTTCGACTTTCCTTGTATTTCGTTTTTAATATTATAAAAAAATTATTGTGTATAAATTTGTGTTTGTTTAGAGGGGAGAGAAGCGCACGCGTGTTTTTACAAAATTTGAGTGCAATTTTTTTTCTCTTTTTACTGTGTGCGAGCTCGTCAAAGTGCCAACAAGAGCAAAAAGAAAACGAAAACTGAGAATCTAAGACAACAGTCTGAGTCTGGTGGGAATATCCTGGTTGAATAATTTGTTTGTGCGTCATTTTGTTGTTGCTGCAGCTGCTGTCATCAACTATCACAGGGTGCCATGTGGAGTCCAACACATTGCAGTGTAACTGGTGAGTTCCAACGGCGGTTTTGCGATTTAGGAGAGACAGACACCCTTTACGATTGCCTTAAGAGAGCATCGTATATTGAGTATGAAAAATAAATCGCATTAAAAATTAAACTTGTTTTTATACATTACCGCCCGAGAGTGTGTGATTGTATGAGAGTGTGTATTTGTGTGCCTAAAAAATTGTCATGTACAAGTATGTAGACAAATCCCCATAAATGCGATACATAGTGACGCTTAAAGCGCTGTTAATTGTTTGGCTAGAGCGCCATGTGTCTTGCAGTTGCTGTTGTTGCCGCCTTGTTACAGTTAAGCAACAGCAACAAAAATAGCTAAAGAGTGCCTGTTACCAATTCCTATTTGGCTTTTGTTGTTGCCGGAGCATAGTGGTGAAAACTGTTGTACACGTAGTACCCTACACACAACATCTTATTTCAAGTTTCACTTTTTTGTTTGCGGTGGTTTTTGCCGCTGCTGCTGCCACCAACACTCACACAAACAAACAAACACACACATTGTGATCGAGTCAGTCAGCATGACCTCTGGGCCAGCAGTGTGAGGAACAAGCGACTGTCTGTTTTTGTTGTTGTTGTTGTTGTAGCTTTGTGGCCGCTTTTCTCTTTTGCGTTTTTTATGCATATTTATACATATGTGTGTATGTATGTATGTCGGTACGCCACGATCTTCCAATAAGTTCGGGTCTTACCTAAAATGTCATTATGGAGCAGAAACACCAGCTATCTGCGTCGTGATTTACGCTTGACTCTTCTAGCTTGTTGTCATTGATAAGATAATTGTACGTTCCATAAACAATATACATACACGAACATACATCAATATATATGTACATGCATTTGTATGGACATGTACATAAGCACTTAATGTACTTAACCGCGCTTACTCATCCCACAAACAAAAAGTGCACACAAGCTGTTCGTTCCCTGTATTGTTCTTATTTTGGACGCTACTCTAAGAAACCAAATAGCTAAATACATATGTATGTAGCCAAGATTGTTGGAAACTATCATCTGAAGTTGTAAGAAATAATAGGATCAGTTCCAAAAATTAACATTTTGAATTACAGGGTGCGTCATCTTTTATGTCGGTATGTAAATATTGAATAACTTTGTCATTAGTGAACCGATTGACTTGAGTAGACCAGTGTTGAAAAATTAGTCTGAAGAAATTGTACAGAACCAAATTAAATAAAAATATCTCATACTTGAAAATCGGTTGTTTATTTTCAAAGATATTCAATGTTTACATACCGTCATAAAAGATGGCGCACCCTGTATATAGTTACGCTCATTCCCGTTGCGCTTATAAAGATGTTTCAATAGAATCATCTGTTTTGAATCTATACATACATATGTATGTACTATATGTATATAGTAATCTTCATTGTACATTGTAACAACAACGTTATGCCTCAATAGCCATGGGCCGCGAGCTATGTACCCTACACTGTTTATGCATACGAGCGAATCTTGTATTAGAAAGTACATATGTATTTTCTGCTTTACGATATAAAAATGGAGCAAGAAGCAAAGAACTCTTGCAAAATATAAACGATACGACCGAGTTGTTGAGGAACTTGAGGAACAATCCAATCGATTGACTGATCGTTCGATTCAAAAGTGAAAAACGCAATACTTACGCACCAAGTTTGATAAAACAGTTACACCTCAATTGTTTACCACACAGCTAACGTAATAATAGTACATCAATATTATAATTCGTTTGAGGGGTATTCCAAATTCGGTGGCTTGGAATGTTTGGGTTTCTTTTGATCGATTTGCAATACAGGCTTTTTGCGTATTTGTACGTACGTATGCATGTAGTATGTATGTGTGTGTATATAAATATATTAGTTAACTACGTATGCATAGTATATACATACATACATATGTACATATGGATATGTAAGTATTTTTTATATTCTTCGCAACTACCACCATTCTTTTGCATATTTTTCTTAAATTGCTGTGCTGGGACTAGCTTTCATTGTTTATTGGTATGCACATTCCTACATAAATAAATATATGTACATACTATGTGTATGTATATATGTGAGTGTGCGTGTGCATGTTTATTTTTTAATTTTGTCGTTGCTTTCATGGTTGAATGTCAATGAGAAATCAGAAATCAACAAGCGCGCGACTTTATTCGTGACAAAGCGAATCCACAAAGAGCTGTGCAAAAATTCGAGAGCGTCAACTTTCTGATAATGAGTGCGGATATCAAAAACCATTTGGGCTGTTTGTTTTGTGTCGTGAGAGCGAGCGAGTGAGCGACCGACCACTCAGTATTTGTATGTACAATGTCTGTTTATAATTATAAAAGCAAATATAAATACAAAACATAGGAACATAGCTGGCTTATTAATAATGGCTTTGTTTAAAAAACAATGATTCATGAAATGTTGCAAAGCGTGCGCGCGTGTTACGGAATGACGGCATGCAGCAACACATACTAGTACTCGCAAGTGAACACACACCTGCACACATGCGCACTCGCACTCAACGCTCTTATCACCTAATCAGGTGTGCTATGCCGATCTTTGCTCTCCGTCATCCACATACTAAGCATGTACTTACTATATACACACATATGAATATGTACGAGTGCGCATTCTAAACCATTTATCTCTATAGTTGATCTTTCTTAATGCGGGAAGTGGAGCTTGAGAGCCGCAGATCAGAAATGAGAACTGAGCTGAAATGAACTGAATTAATGGAGGCTTGTTCCCGTCTCGATCTTGGAATATACATATATACTCGTATAGGACCTACAAATAATAAAAATCATTCAAATATCAAAAAAGTTACCCTGATACGATGAAAAATAAAAGCATTTGATGAAAATGATTGCCGGAACGCGAAATAAAAGGTACTGGTACTTTTCCTAGCATGTATGGATACGATTCGTTTCGGATTCGATATGACATAGAGTGTTGAAAAATGTTATATGTATGTGTATATTGCGGATGAATCCCATCGAAGAGTTTCAAGAATGCTATATTCCATATGTACATATATTGCAGGAACTATATGATGAAAAATATTATTAATATGTACATACATATTGTAAGTGATGTGTTAATCAACCAGCCTTGAACTTGAATTGCCACCACCACTATCCAGAAAGCTGCTATCAAGCTATAAAAAAACTGAGGCTTTAGCTCACATACAAGTATTTCTGTATTTACACAGTTTAATAATAATGAAGAAACGCTTCGAGTTGACGTCAATTTTTGTGTTGTGTACATACAAACATATAGTATGCGTTAAATATACGAAAACTAAACAAATCTGTCTTAAGTATTTAGCGCTCATTTACCTAAACTGTTAGCAATTCTTAGAGCTATCCATTCTGCATTCATATACAGGCATATATGTAAGTAGTATATGTATAGAGGAATATACAAACTGATGTACATACATAGATATGTATGTATGGTATGTACATAAAGTATAAAAGTTTTATTGTCTCGTTGTAGTCAGTCGTGACTCGCGTTGTCAATATTTGCTTAAGATGAGCTCTGTCTGCTGCCTCAGTCAATACAGACGTGGGTGTAGGTATGTATGTATTTACTTGTATATATACAGACATATGTATTTATGTACAGCTGTTTTGTGCAATTAGAGCGATAATGTATAGTTACCTTTTTTTTATTATTTGTTTTTAGGCGAATTAAAACATTTTTAGCTGGCAAACAAAATCATTTTTTTTGCGGAATTTAGTAAGTGGATGAAACACATGGGCTAGGCGTACAATTACCTTCAAGTTTCAAGTGTGTATGTGGGTGTGTGCCTTGCATCGCATACTAATCGAAGCAGGGCTATAATATCCATTCATTGGAATTGTAGCAACTGTCTTGTTTTCCAATTTACTTTCTCACATACAACATAGTATAGAAAGTAGTAGTATTTTCGTTTTGTGTGGAACAGCTGACGAGCAAATCTACTCAATGAATGACCAGTAATGGAAAATCATGTGAAATAAACAGCCTAGTTGTAAACAATATACAATAACATAACATAATGAATTAATGTGTTTATTGATTGATTCACAGAAAATAACAATGCTATTTTTTAATGATTTTTTTGGGCTTCTTACTGGTTTCATTTACTTTTTCAATTCGCGCTCGAAATGTGCGATTTCATTTTCGTGTTCCGGCCATTGCGTGATTTGTTTACAAATTGCGATTCGCACATTTCAATGTTCCAAAGCTTTTCATTACCATGTGCCCCAATATATGGGGCATTGGAGTGTTACAGAAAAACTATGTCTGAGATATTGAGCGGAAAATAATTTTTGAAATGCTTTAAATTTAAAGAACATGTCCTAGAATTCCATGCAACAAACTCCAGCAACCCCAACAGTTGTATAGAAAGTTGTTTACCCTTTCCAGGTTTTTTGATGAATGAATAAAGAATAACTTCAAAACAATATGTTTTTTTAATTAAAACTCAAGCATTACTATTAAATATCAGATTTGAGAGTATAGATATTAGAATTCGCAATCATAATTAATGAATTTTGAACTTTTGCGTTTTGCTAATTATCGCTGAAAAAGTGGTACCAACATTATTTTCCTATAGCCTCAGAGAAGTCATTCGCCTTGGAAAATCGAAACATGGAAACATAATTCGCAAATATTTCTGCAGAGCTTGTTTTGTACACATTTATGAAAAGCAAAGAAGAAAGCATCCATAACAAATCTCGCTTAAAATGCACTTCAATCTGGTTCTAATTATCTCTAGAAAATTGCTCATTATCTTCAAAATGGGCCGACTTCATATAAAATTCCGATTAGAGTGCTTTATGTTGTGTAATTGCTGATGAGTCTCTACGAAATCGCGTAATTGCTGTCTTTGTCTGTCGAGCATTTCATAAATCTGTTTTTAATGTATACAACATCACGAGTTAAACATTGATTTGATTCGTTTTTAAAATACCCATTCTACTCACAACATAGTATTTCGGAAGCAGTCCTCCACT